AGAAGTTAGGGACAAGCAGTTAGAGTTAAGAAGTTAGGGACAAGCAGTTAGAGTTAAGAAGTTAGGGACAAGCAGTTAGAGTTAAGAAGTTAGGGTTATGCCGTTTGGGCTAATCCTCTATCGTGAGACCATTATGACTAATCCGATTTGAAGTCTTATTAGCTTCTTTTCCATCAACTCAGCCGCTAGCCAATGCACCTACCTAGTGCCAACATGTACGCCGCGAAGACGAGACGAGGGCCCTTAGAGTAAATGTCATGATTCTTCCCAATGATGTTAAGCAAGGTGAACCAGGCATAGTTGGATTTATCCTTGAGCTTTTTCTTTAGAGGTGCATTTGTAACGACGTTCATATTGATGGCTAGTTCGTTGAATAGCTGGTACGCAAGACTGTACACATTAGGGAACGACGTGAAGAATCTGTTTTCATACTCATTTTTGAAGACCTGATATTTGACATCACTGAAGAAGTAGTAGTTATTCGCAATCGAATCGATATAGTCATACGTAAACATGAGTCTCTTCTTGTCGCTGTGCTTCAAACTGTTGTAATCATTTTCAAAGTGGAAGAATTTGCTTGCGAGGGAGAAGTCTAGTTCGTATCTTGATTTGTCCATCTCCAAGGAGAGGTGAATTATGTCCATCAGTTTCGCCACTTGGGTATCCAGCAGGGTCAGTGGCTCAGTGTTCCTCAGAATGAAGTTTCGGCTGACTATGGGGGGGGAGGGAAGTTGCCATGAGAGTAGTCACGAAGGTATCCTCCAAAGTTGCACCCAACGATGCCGCTACTGTAGGAGTGATTATCTGCGGCGAAACTCCGATGTGGGGGCGTGGACAATACTTACTGAGCATCTGCCTGACGAAGCTCGTTTTGGAAAGATTCGAAATGATGCTCTGTGGGTGGACGTAGAACCCTGCGAGGTGGGGTAGGAAGTCGAGAAAGACGGGTGAGGGGTGAAGAAGTGACGGATAAAGGAGCTAAATGCGGAGCTATATGCGATGCTATATGGGGAGCTCCGCGTAGTATCCACCGCGACCCTCCAGTCCTGCTAGCCCCTAAGTGGTCTTTTTCTCTTATTACATCCGAAGTGGTCAAAGGCGTAGAGGAGTTCACTCCAGAGTTCCTTCGCAATGGGCGAGTAGCCTGCGCAGTAAAGCAATGAAGAGGTGAAGCGGTAAAACGGTAAAGCGGTAAAGCGGAAATATATCGAGCAACAGTACGAATGTGTACTTCGTGGACGGGGCAGCGCTACACAGGTGACCATCTGCCCAGGACTACATCTCAGCGGAGCTCACCCTGGTTAATGTTAGTGTCCTTAAAAGCCATAGTGAAGAAGAATTGAACCTTGGGTCTCTCCCAGTGGTTAATATCATAGGTGTCGGGAATGCTGGGGAAGAGGCTCAGAAAGTGCTTGTTTGTAGCGTCCGTGGATAGCTTCGGGAGGTTGGTGGCGGACCCTTTTGCAGTGAATAAGCTGTAGGCCTTATCATTAGGTACCTTCTTATATCCCATGTTTCTGTAAAATCTGAAGGCCATATACTCTGAGTTCTTGTTTTCCTCAAAGCCTGTCTTTAGGAGGTAGAGCAAGAGGATGTGGTTGGCTCTGTAGAGATTGATGAAGGTGGGGGCCACGTCGTTGAAGGTGATCATATTTTTGTCTTCTTCGATTTTGAGAAATCCGTAGTACAGGAAGAAGTTTAGGTCGACGAGGACTGCGATGGAAGGGGTGGGGTGTGTGTGTGTGTGTCAACATTTGGGTGAGGCAGCTATAGAGGCGGCTAGTTAAGCGACGAATGAATCGATTAGTGTTGCTGCTAGTCAAGCCGCGAATGAAGCGGCTAGCCAATCCGCTAGTGGTCGCTTTCCCGCCTTACACTTCTCCACGTCCTCGTGGTCAAGCTCACGCACCAGGTTGGAAATGTCGTTGTCAATCTGCGTGATGGAGAGCACGTAGTTCTTAACTGTCTTCATCAGGTCGGAGTAAAGCCCGTCGTCATTGATCTCCTTGCGCAGGTTCTTCACCGTCACAGCGTACCTCTCGCTAACTTGTCTCTCCTCAATGTCCTTCCCGTGCATAAGTTTGCTGTTCCCATCCCTAACCACTTTGACAACCAACTTGGCCTGATTGTTAAGATTGGTAAGTCGAAAAGTCGGGATGACTGTCTCGTCTTCCAAAACGTAATTATGATGAATCTTGGCCTCACCGCTAATTTTGTACTCCATATTTAGAAGCTCCAACAATTTGTCTTTTTTAAAATGTTTCGAATTCTGATCCACATAGGTCACTAGATTATCAAAAATGACTTTCAATCTGTAGTAGATAATGGATTGTTCATAAAACTTCTGACATAAATGAATATAATCTGCACAGAATTTTTCATTTTTTATGGACTGGAATGATTCTAATGCGTATTTCTTGGCGACGTTAATATGTGATCCTAAGATAACTAAGTAGTCATGTCCTTCAAAGGATTCTATAATTTTATCTACCATTCTTTTTTTCGCTTCATTCATGGATTCATCTGCTTTGCTACTTATGACTAACATTTCTTGTACATTTTTTATTTTCGTCCTGTCCTTTATAAAGCGGTTAAACATGATTAACTGTTTTGCTCTCTTAAGGGCTGCCTCTTCACTCATGGCTTCATTAATACTTCTTAGGAACTTACTCAATACTTCCTCGTCTGCTTCATTGATTATGGTATAATTTGAACGTGCGTGGAGTAAGCTCAATATGAATTCATTTATCTCTTCCTCAACTGTTTCACCTGGAGTATCATTTTTTATCGTGTTGAAGAGTTTCTCACATTTCTTCACATAGGAATTCTGCTGCTGTTCAGAAAATAGTCCAGCTACGTTTATGTATAGAAATGCATTTTCGCATATCTTTATCTGGTCCCTCTCCACTTCAATGTTCAGTGCACTTGCGTCCGGCGCATTATTTGTGGACAGGCTATGGCCCAGCTCGAGCGCGCCCCCGCCGCGCGCACAGCACAGCAGGGCAAGCGGACTCAGCAGGAGGGGCAGCCTCATTTAGGGGGGGAGAAGAAGAAGAAGACACGGGGAGGGGACAAAGAAGGGGGGAGATGGGTATATAGACAAATGACTGTGTGGACACGCGGAAGTGCATGAAATATCGACACGCGGGCACAGTCGCGCCTGTACAGGCAAATATGTGTGGAGTGACTAGCTAACGGGTCATATTAGAATTGTTCTAATAGGCGCCTATGGGGGCGGACGAGTAGCAGCGGAGAAGAAGCCGCGTAGCAGCCGAGTAGAAACCAAGCAGCAACTGCGTACCAGCCACGTGACTGTGCATGCCCCGAAGGCCAGAATTTCAAAGCTGCGCAAAGGGCATGCACAAGTCCGACGTGCACCTTCCGTTTCGATGGGTTGGCGAAACGGTGAAGTTACGCTTTGACCAAATGTTAAAAGAAGAACAAGAAAAAAAAAAAAAAATTGAGATACGAAAAAGGGGCGAAATGAAGCGCAACGCGATCGGCTAGTTATTTTCCGCGCGTTATGTGTGTTTTTATTTCGCGAAATGTCCGTCAGATCGTCAGTTTGTTAGTTGTCCGTTCACTCCCTCATTTGTTCATTCTGCGCACTTTTCTCATTTTTCTCATTCTGCTCATTTTGCTCATTTTTCTCATTTTATTTTTTTTTTTTTACACCCGTACACACTTGGTATGCTTCAAAATTTCGCTACGCCCACGTATGCATAGGTGCATAAACACTCGCGGTGCATGCCTAAGCGCACGTGCGGACAGTGATGATTGCACGCGCTGGGAGAACTGTAAAAGCGAGGGGGTGACTGGATGCGCCAAAAGGGGAGGAAAAAAAATAAAAAAAAACCAAAAAAAAGGAAGAACAAAAAATGTGCGAGCTGGTGTGTACCATTTGGTAACTACTCTGCAACCAGAGAAAATGCAATTTTAAAAAAAAAAAAAAATTGTGCACTACACTTGGACGAAGAGGCGCCTGTTCAGTGACACCCTGGGGGTGGGAAGTGGCGAGAAAGGAGAAGCGGGAAGGGGCAAAAAAGGCTAAAAAATGCCCTAAAAATCAGCTAAAAATGCGCTAAAAAATGTTCTAAAAAGATATCGCGAACAGACAAGTGGCAAAGGAGCGACGGTCTGCCCCGCTCCGGGGCGAGGCAACTTGGCGCTCCTTTCACTTTGGCCCCCAAAGAGGGATAGGGTCCGATAAGCGCGTAAAACGAAAAATGCTCTAGAGAATGATTGGTCAATAAATGCACTTAACACCTGCATATGCCTCACACGTCCGTATGCCCTCGCATTTTATTTTATTATTTCTATTATTATTATTTTTATCGTTATTATTATTTTTTTTACTATTATTTTTATTATTATTTTTTTCTTTGTTTTTTGCTTAGCCCCATGGGCACCTTACACAGGGGCAGAGTTATGCACACATTTCTCTAGTGGGGGCGGTGGGAGAACTACGCAGTGCTTCACTCCCGTTCGTTACGAGTTGCCTCCCTCTTCAACGCTCATGGACGGCAAGGCTAGCAAAACGAACCGTGCGAGTAGCTACATGGTGCCCAAATAGATAGCCTCCACCCCTCCTCGACCCTCTCCACTCATCCATTACGATACAATTTCTTGAAAAAAATTTCGAAATAATTGCCTGTAGTTTTTAAACATTGAGGGATCACTAATTCCTTCCTCCTTGTTTTTTTCTCCTGAAGAGATCCCCTTCCTTGGTTCGCTCAATTTATACACACGTAGGAACCCCCTCTGGATGTGCTCTTCGATGTACCTTTTGTAAAAACAGATATTGTCCTTGCTCGTGTTGGTTACATGTATTGCTAGGTTCACAGAGTCGATTTCGTCGTCATTTTTCACCGTTGCGTAGTAGCAGTACCGACCGTCTGGTGGAACTCCTATTTGTTCGTTCTTGCTTTTCCCTTTTCCGTGTGCCTGACTGTTGAGCAGCCCTTCTTCCAGGGGGGGGGTACCTCTCCGTGCATCGCTTCCCGGGGAACACGCCCTGCCAGCGCCGAAGCAGAGCCCCCCGAAGCTGTGCACAAGGTGTGACTTCCCCCTACCCTGGTTATGCATCCCTCTAAGGGTATTCCCCTCTGGTATATCTTCCTCCTCCTGGCTCCCTTCCTCGATGTCTCCCCCGCTGCGACCGCCTCTACCACTTCCACCGCGTTGGCCGCTTCTATCACTTCCCCCCATCGCAGGGGGCAGGATGTCCCTCCTCAGCATGCTGGCGAACGCGCAGAAGAACGCATACGCCTGTTTCCATTCCGTTGCACCGTTCGACGCCAATTTGAATGTCCCATGGAAGCTCCGAATTATTGCTACAAACACGGATATGCAAGAAAACAGGGGGGGTTCATTTCGACATATCGTGACATACATATAGGTTACAAACAAGTGCATCATATTAAAGAAAAAAAGAATCCTGAGCAGACTCCTATCACTATCAATGATGTATAGCAAAGTAGGATCTACTTCTCGAATGATAGAATTGTAAGGATGGTGATTTCCATCGAGGAGAAAACTCCACAGTTGCATTTTCATGTCTATTGGGTGAAGCGGGGAATTGACTTCACTGGGGGAATCTCTAAAAGGGTCACTTCTGTTTCGCCTTTCTCTTTCTTCACCATTTGATTTGCTTTCATGCTTCTTCCCCCCATGGAGGACACTATTCATCGATGAACTGCTTCTACGATGTGGGTTTTCTGTAAAATGGGTAACTCGTTCTGTCTGTGCAGGTAGCCTCTTCACATCTGCAGTGTATTCCCTCAGTTCCTTACTCCTCCCCCCGTCCCTTAATACGCTGCTCCACCAATTCTTCTTATTCTCCTTCGTTAAGTTGCTCCCACATGGGGGCTTGTCCTTAACGCAATTCGCCTGACAATATTGATGATGACATTTCCTATGTAGCAGCACTTGTAGGAAGTTTAACACTGCCCCAAGGAAAAGATCGAAGTGGATGTCCTTTTCCAAAATGATTTGTATTCTGCGTTTGGGCAGTCGTTTGTATCTGTCACGGGGGGGATTCCCGATACGGTGCACTTCCTCGGTGTGGAGCACTTCCTCCGTGTGGATTTCCCCCGCTGCGGATCGATCCACCTCTTCTGTTTCTCCGTCGCAGGTTCTACGCTTCCTCAAGCGAAATACCCTCTCTACGTACTTGCCAAAGGTCCCGATCGATCTGTCCGTTTTAACAAACCGGGTTACTCTCGCTATATGTGTACGTTGTATGGCCTTTTTTTGTGTCACCCTTCTGGCGAGCTCATCATGGGCTGCCCCGTCATTCCAGCGGTTCTTACAGCTAGACTTTATTTTTCTCCTTTTATCGCCCTTTTTCGGTCCGCCTTCCCCTTTATTCCTTCCGTGTGAGTGCCGCTCTTCCCTGTGCACCAGCACCAGACTGCAGTAACTACTAATCACCCGATGCAAACAGTGAAGGACGGTCTTTTCGATGTAGTCCTTCTTCCCCCTTGGGGCCTTGGTTTCCCCGTTATTCTTGTGTGCCCCCGAGCGATGCAGCAGCTCCCGCTTGGTCTCTTCGTACTGTCGCAAGATTTGTTCGAGGCTTTCCATGTTTGGCGGGTTAGTTCTTTGAAAGGTTAGCACTCCGGTTGGCACTTTACTCATGAGTAAGCCTCATCGTCTGGGGCTACGATTCGCAATTATGCGGGGTCCTCCCTCACCCATTTCGGTCACCAAGCACACAAAAGAAATAAAAAAAAAAAAGAAAAAAAAAATAAAGAAAAAAATCCATGGAATGATCTCACACCTCTACGCTGTTATAGGAGCTGATTCATTTCGAAAATTTTCTTCCCACTTTGCTGCATCATAAGAAATAGGAAAAGTAGTAAAACGAATCATAGGTGACTAAACAATTTAATCCCACTCCTGGAAGCGCTGCACTCCGGAAAGGCAGCTTTTTCTGATGGGTAGGAAAGTGCACCAATCATCAATTCAATCACGAACAAGTTGGGTGAAAATCGACGCTCACATTTTCTACCAGACGGAGGCACTCTCAAAAGGACCTCCTCCCATTTGTGGCCTGGTCACAAGTACCATACCTGAGAGCTTCCCACACTGTGGATACAACTCTTCCACAAAGGGATGAAGTTATCTGCCCAAATGAGTTTTCTTTTCCCCCTCTTGATTAATAACTG